CTCCCTGAATGAAATGCCAGTCCATCTTAGGGTTACCTCCAGCATTAAATTTGCCAGTACCCATTTATACACCTTGGCCTGGGTGGCTAGGCACTGTGAGAGTAAAGTGTCTGGCCCAAGAACCAGCATAACGACCCCTGCCATGGCACAAACATGGACCACTTGATCCAGAGTCCCTACACAAAACACAAGGCCACCACATCTCCCACTACAGCAAAAGGCAACAAAACTTACTGCTACCTTTCAAGTGTTTTAACACAAACCAATGAATTCAGGGGCATAGCTAGCCTATAGGCCCATAGGTCTGGGCCCACAAATTTTGCAGAAGATTACACAAAGCTGAGGCATTCAAATTGCTGACGAACCAAGAAGCAATCTCACAACTGCGCTAGCTGTCGTGATAACATCAAGGCTTGTGAAACAAGTGAAAATTTGGGAGTCTCCCAGGTTCACAGCCAAATGACAGGCTCAGCAGCACAATAATACAACCCATTAAAGACAAGTGCCTTTCTTGGTAATCAGTGAGAAATGGCCCACAATCTGTTACATTTACCTGAAAAACTTCACAAGAAAACATAGCCCCTGAGCCCCAAGATACAGGTCAGTTAGTTAGCCAGGAATATGACTTTTCAAAAATCTGGCTCCATCTCTGGATTTAAGCTGCCTATTCTTATAGGTTTTGACAGACTTTAAAGGAAAACAGTTCGAAATACAGAGCCCAAGGGAGGGAAAAATTGGAATCAAATCAAGCTGAAAGAGCTGAACAAAGTAATTGAGATCAACAGCGACTAAATGACTGTTATGGAGCCTACAAATTATCCTGGTGTGCACCCAACTGATGAAAATGGATGATCACAAATCCGTCATTCAGTTGTGTGATGACTGTTTATAAATGACCAATGAATGACTGGAAGTAAAATTGCCATTACTAATTTGATTGCTACATTGATTGCCATTGATATCTGGCTGTGGATAGGTCAGTTTTATACATGTTGATGTTGTTCCTGTTTGCCATGTCTGAGAACTGTAGACACCATAACATTAGTTTTGGAATGTTTGGTCAAAGGTAACCATGTCTGTGACTTTGGCAAAAAGGACCACGAAAGGGCAGCACAGAGGCATTCTTTTTAATCTGTAACTGAACATACATGCAGCCTTTTATGTTACAATTGGAAACTGAATAAATAGTTACTTTTTTATATTCTTCATTATAATAATCAGATGCAAAGGAAAATAATCAAACTGGTCAAAAAATAAGTTAAACCAACAACAAATTTTCACTGCAGTGCACTTATGCCAGGTGACCAATTGGTAGTGGGAGGGGGGGGCTCTTTGGAGCCCTTAAGGTTTTCTTTGGAATAGGAAGCTAAGGCTTCAATCTTCTTGGAATCAGAGCACTGAATTTTAAAAATAGCTGTTGTAAGGTAATACAATAGAGATGTGAGGCTCTGTAATGCTAAAGCCCTTTGGGACATAGTATCTGTGTCTCCAGCTCTTTCTGTTGTACAAAGGTTGTCTGTATCCATCCAAAGGGTTCAATCTTGAGGAACCTTTCGTGGCTTCATGATTATTAGGTGACTTGAAGCATTTCGATCTACTACCCCAGGATGGATGCTGGTCCATCGCAGGGTTAATCCTCAACCCCACCCCCACCCCTCTCAAAATTGAATTTGCAAGTACTTGTTTGTAATTAGATATGTGTGGCAAGAGGCACTGACCTAGGGGAAGCCAAACTTTTCTATTTCACAGCTCTAGCCGTTAGGCCATCGCACCTCTCACTGTATTGCAGAGAAATTGAGGAATGGGGCGATATGCCAAAGGAGGGATAACGAGAGTGAAGGAAATGTAGGCTGTCAGAGACACAGAACTAGATGTTAAGCTGGATTTTGACATTAAATTCTTGGAAATAACACCAAAATGAACTTTTAGTGACCGGGAACGAAAACTCCTAAGCTTATATTCAACCGAATCAAGGATTTAAAAACGAGGTCTAACAATATTTTCAAAGTGAAAGTAGCTGAAGTTGGGTGGAAGCTAAGAAGCCCAGCTAGACGTTTGCATCAGGCTAATATTGCAGAAGAGACAAGACGGAAAAGGTGAATTAACTCTACCTTCGCTGAATCTTCAAAAACTAGTAAGGTACCTACCTCCAAGGCAAATAAGACGTGTTTTTCTTTGCGAGCAAACTTCGAAACATCTGTCCTCCCCTGACTCTCTGTCACACGTGTTTTACAAATCGCGCGGAGAATGGGGATAACCGTGTGAGGAAGTGACCTTGACTGGACCTTCCCTTCCCCTAGTTAGTAGGCAATGTACTCGTCTCATCAAAATGTCGGAAAAGAACCGAGCGGCGATATTAGAGCTGATGAAACAGCCTCAGAATAACACATGTGCCGATTGCGGAGCTCCAAGTAAGTCTTTAAGATTTACGTTATCATCCTGGTCTACCGGATCGGTGCTTTGTCAGTTGTGTCTTAAATTTTCAATTTATTTTCATCGCGACTTCCTGTACTGTAGATCCCGAATGGGCCTCAGCGTCGAAGGGACTGTTCATTTGTATCACGTGTAGTGGAATTCACAGGAATTTAGGAGCTCAAGTCTCTGTGGTCAAATCTCTTAGGCTTGATACATGGACAGATGAAAAACTGAAGGTAAGATGGCAACTTTACAGCCAGTTTCAATGCGTTAAAGCAAGCAAAACTCTTCCCAAGTCTTTGTCAGATTACCGATCGTGCGTGGCCGGCATCAAATCGATTAATCTCATAGCCGCTAGTCAATGAAATCACTTTTTGAAGTGCTGCAGCTCATAAATAAAATGGAATCAACGGTTGATATGAACAGTGTTGCTGTCATGTCGTGTACAGCACTATCAATGTGTCATTTTGCAATCAACACAAACATAAGCTAAAGTTGTAAGATAAATAGGTTTTCCCTCTTCAAGAATCCTGCTCAATTTCCCTCTAATTGTCCGCATGATCAAGAAAATGATCTTGTTCAGCTGCATTTAATGAAGCCTATGCAATTTTTTAAAAATCAATTTAATTTATTTCCTTGTACGATCGCGATTATGGCCGGAATTTCTGTTGATACAGCACGATGATTACTTTGAGATATAAAATCGGCTGAACCAAATGCAATTCGTTAAGCTATTTGCCCAGTTAGCAAGTTAAAATAGTTTCATCAAATATTGACATTTAACATAACAGATAATAAGCAAAGCAAAGTATGTAAATACAGTACAGGCCTTCGTGATGAACTTGACAAACGGAAAAAGATAAACGTAACGTCAATGGCAGAAGTATTTGACCCGCACACAAAATATGGGCACAATTTGAGGAATGATTTAAGTTTTAATATTTTGAGACACGAAACCGTAGTCAATCATGTCTGACGGCTCAAACTTCAGTACAGCAAACACCTGGTAAAATATTCACAGTGATGAGAAACCCTTCTGAATTGTAATATATAAAAATAAATAAATAAATAAGTCAATAAATAAATAGATCGAAATCTCAAAAAGTCGTCCAGGACTTAAGATCAGGAGGTTTTGCATTGATCAGCATGATTCATTGATATTTTAGTTTGTCCGAAATTTGATCATATTTAATCTTAGTAAACTTTAACAACACAATTAGAGTTTGACGACTGTTCTTGCTTTGTGCCTAAGTTCCATCTCCATATATTTATACATTTTTGGCAAAAAAATATCTTAAAACAATTTAACAATTGGCTTGTTTGACAATCTCTGGTCTTAAACCTAGTACGTGTATCAACTATCCCAAAGGTTGACATAGAAACAACATAAGTCACCAAAAACCCAATCTTTCCTTTCCCTGTAAAACATCAGAATTAACTGACATTTCCAAGCCCCTAAAACTAAAACTTTCCTGGGGGGCAAGCCCACAAATCTTGCTAGTGGCTTGTACCTTTGGCACATGATTCACTTTCTTTTTGGTGCATACTCCACAAAAAATGCACATTATATGCCTCTGGGGAGCCAGGATCAGGTAGTGATGAGAGTGCTTGCCTCTCACCCATTAGCCTGGGTT